TTTCAAAAAATAAGAATAAAACTACCATATGATCCAACAATACAGTTTCTTGGCACCTATCCACCAAACGCAAAAACATTAATTTGAAATTCTATATGCACACCCATGTTCATCTTTGCACTTCATACAATTTCCAAGACATGGAAATAACCCAAATATACTGGATCAAGAAGTTGTGATATATGTGTGTGTGTGTGTGTGTGTGTGTGTGTGTGTGTATGCACGGCACGGTAGCATGGTGCTCCCATTGCTCATCGATTTCCTCCAGCGGGCCCAGTAATGTCTCCATCATGAGACTCGTTGTTACTGTGTTTGGCATACTGAATATGTCACAGGTAGCTTGCCAGGCTTTGCCTTGCGGGCAAGATACTCTTGGTAGCTTGCCGAGCTCTCTGAGAGGGGCAGAGGAATCGAAACTGGTTTGGCCGGGCTAAGCCCTACCGCTGTGCTATCGCTACAATATATATATATATATATATATATATATATATATATATATATATGGTAAGGTAAGGTAAAGGCCCTCCCGTTGATCATCGATTTGCTCGAGCGGGCCCAGTAACGTCTCCATTGGAGACTTTGTTGTTACTGTGTCTGGCATATCCAATACTCTCGGTAGCTTGCCGGGCTCTCCAAGAGGGGCGGAGGAATCGAACTCGGGTCGGCCATGTTGGCCGCTTGTAAGGCGAGCGCCCTACCCGCTGTGCTATCGCTCCAGCCCATATATATATATATATATATATATATATAAAGGTAAAAGGTAAAGGCCCTCCCGTTGATCGTCGATTTGCTCGAGCGGGCCCAGTAACGTCTCCATTGGAGACTTTGTTGTTACTGTGTCTGGCATATCGAATACTCTCGGTAGCTTGCCGGGCTCTCCGAGAGGGGCAGAGGAATCGAACTCGGGTCGGCCATGTTGGCCGCTTGTAAGGCGAACGCCCTACCCACTGTGCTATCGCTCCAGCCCATATATATATATATATATATTATATATATGTAAACAAAAAAGCCTGGAATAATATGCAGCTCTACATAGAAGAAAATTATTCAATTTGCAGCAAAATGGATATAATTTGAGAATATTATGCTAGGTGAAGTCAGTCAGAATATGTCTGTCCTCCTTCTCACTTATTTCACTCAGCATGTTACTCTACATGTCCATCCATTTATAAGCGAACTTCATTTTTCCCTAACAGTTGTATAGTATTCCATTGTATAGATGTACCATAGTTTCTTTAACCAGTCATCTGTTATCAGGCACTTGGATTGTTTCTAGATTCTGGTTATTGTAAACAGTGCTGCAATGAACATACAAGCAAAAATATAATTTCTGCTGTGTGTTTTTACACCCCAGGTGTATACTCTCAGAAGTGGTATTTCTGGGTCATATACAAGTTCAATTTCTAGTTTTTTTGAGTAATGCCCATATTGTTTTTCAAAAAGTTGGCATTCCTACTGACAATGAATGAGAGTCCCTTCCTCCCGTATCTGAGCAAGCACTGGTAGTTCTTATTCTTTTTGATGTGGGCCAGTCTCTGTGACTACTCTCATTTGTGAGATATAAAAAACATAGTATGAGGCAAACACCCAAGGACAATAGAAACAAGGGCCAGGACGAATGTTCCACAGTTGGAAACCTGCCAAATGTGATGGTCTCTCAGTATCTGTATTGCAAATCATTGTGCCAAAAGGAGACGGGGGAGGGGGGAACAGAAAGAGAGACAGCACTAGAAAGACAGAGAGACACAGAGAGAAAATGCCTGTCATAGAGGCAGGTTGGGTAAGGAGGAGTGGCAGGAGGAATGCTGGGTGTTTGGTGATGGGAAGTGTACATTGGTGGAGGGATGGGTATTGGAATATTGTACGACTGAAACCTGATCGAAAGCTTTGTAACTGTATCTAACAGTGATTTAATATAATATTTTTAAAAGGAACAGACCCAGAATGATCTCTTGTGTGAGACTTAAAGATACATAGCAAGGCAGCAACAAAGATCCAAAAGCAACAAAATCAGGGAACTGACACAGAATTGAGTTGTGGGGGTGGGCTGTTGAGAGGGAGGATAGGTGTAAGGAAGGGAGGGATATGAGTAATTTTTGGTGGGTGTGGTGTTGAAATTATGTCCACAGGAAATTATTATTTATAGTATTGTAAGAAGACTGGAGCGATAGCACAGTGGGTAGGGCGTTTGCCTTGCAAGGGGCCAACATGGCTGACTCAAGTTTGATTCCTCTGCCCCTCTTGGAGAGCCCGGCAAGTTACCGAGAGTATCTCGCCCGCCCGGCAAAGCCTGTCAAGCTACCTTTGACGTATTCGATATGCCAAACACAGTAACAATTGTCACAATGGAGACATTACTGGGCCCACTTGAGCAAATCGATGAACAACAGGAGGACAGTGACAGTGACAGTATTGTAAGAAAAATAAATAAATGGAAAAATAAATAAAATACTGATTCTAGGTGGGGTTTCAGGTTCTTTAGAAAACAGAAGATAGGGATTGCCACTATTCCACTTTGAGTAAGGATAAATACAATTATAATTACCTTTTAAGTTTATTTTCTATCACCCCTATGAAGGGCTGGAGTGATATCACAGCGGTAGGGCGTTTGCCTTACAAACGGCCAACATGGCCGACCTGAGTTCAATTCCTCTGCCCCTCTTGGAGAGCCCTACAAGCTACCGAGAGTATCTGACCCGCACGGCAGAGCCTGGTAAGCTACCCGTGACGCATATTCGATATGCCAAACACAGTAACAACAAGTCTCATGATGGAGACGTTACTGGGCCTGCTCGAGCAAATTGATGAACAACGGGAGGACCGTGACTGTGACCCCCATGAAAGCAGTAAGTCCATTAAATATTACATAATTTGTATAAGGCTTCACAGTGAAACTGATGATTGAACTCATTAGCACTTAATCAATTCCTTGTTTTTTAAAATTATTTTAATATTTACAAAATATGATTTATGATATTGTTAATAATAGCATATCAGTTAAATAATATTCCAACTCCACGTCCCCACCACCAGTAACAGTATTCTTTCACCAATTGAATAAAAAGCTGTTTAGAGGGCAAACAAATAGAGACTCCACTTATTACATTGTAGACTATATAGAATATCATATAAAAATTACACTTACCTAAAGTTGTATTTATTATATCGGTATAATGTTATTTCAAGAAATGTTTGTTTCCTTTTTTTTTGCTTTTTGGGTCACTCCCGGCGATGCTCAGGGGTTACTCCTGGCTCTGCACTCAGGAACCACTCCTGGCGGTGCTTAGGGGACCATATGGGATGCTGGGATTCGAACGCCGGTCGGCTGCATGCAAGGCAAACGCCCTACACGCTGTGCTATCGCTCCAGCCCCCGAAATGTTTGTTTCTTGATGGAAAATTTCTAGCAATACTTCCATCATTATATATTCAGTACAGCTTTAAGTTTGCCTCTTCCTCATATTACTATGTTTGAAACAATTTCAATATCCATATTCTCGTGAACAAATTACAAATGAACTGACTTCGGGCTGGTGTGATAGCACAGCTGGTAGGGTGCTTGCCTTGCACATGGCAGACCAGGTTTCAACCCCTGGTAACACATATGGTGTTCTGAACCTAGGAGTAATCTCCGAGCACTGATCTAGGAGTAGGCACTAAGCACCTCCAGGTTTTTCCTAAAAACCAAAAATAATGAAGGAAGTTAAAGTAACTTCTTGATTTTTTCTCTCCTTCCAACCCCACCAGAATTTATTTGTGATTTACATTAATCAATTTAAAACCCCCTTTAACTGGGAAGGTGGTTTATAGACATACCTAAAGTATTGGTTTCTATTTGAATACTTTCTCCCGAACTTTTCCCATATACTTAGTACCCCAATCTACATTTGTTCTAACTATGTCCCTATACTATTAACTTGTTGAAGCTCATGTGGTTATTGAATCTGTAATTTTTTTAACTAATTCCTAACTCTTTATTCCTTAAAACTAAAAACTGTATCTAAGAGCATAGCCCAGTTAATGTCTCAAGGATCATCCTCTTAAAGAAGTCTGCTCTTTCATTGTCTAGGTAGATTTTGTGTTTCTTTCTCGAGGCATTCTCAGAAGTTATTTCAGAAGAAACAGTTAAGATTTTCTATATAATTTCAGGAGGTCCCGGGATCTGTGTTTGGGGGTTTTTCAGTTTATATAATGGTTTAATGGGAGTTATAATTTAGTGGTGAGGGAACATCCATTTCATTAAGGGCTTGGTTACTTTACTATTGAATTTTCCTGGTGTTCTCACTCTTCAAGCTACCTCTCTTTATTGTCCTCCAACTTGTAGATGCTCATAGCTGTTTTCACTCTCTTTTATCTGGTCTATAGTCTACATTTGCATCTGTGAAGACTTTATTTAGGCAGTCTGTTGTTACTATATTAGAAACTAATGCATTAATGTTAGGGACAGAAGCTGGCTTATTTGCAAGCTTCATGTTCCATATAAAAGGTTTTGAAACCTCCTGTGGAATTACTATTCACCTCATTTTAGGCATAATACTTTGTCTTTACATATATGCTAAATGAAAGCCTTTCTGTATAACTAGTGCTGAGCAAATTGTTTTGAGACAAAAGAAGTACAGAGTTTAAGCAACAATTAAAATTTCCTTTCCATATCTATAGAATAAATATTTTAACATTGTCTGCTACTAATAAGTATATTTGAATTTATTATAAGATGGAAAGTCGTGGCGAATGAGAAACAATTAGTTTCTGTGAAGATTATGAGGCAGGCTATATCTTGCCCGATGTAGCAGCAGTAGCCAATTCTAATCTAAGGAATGTCTTTGTCAAATTCATCTTGGTCTGCAGGTGAAAGCCTCTTCCACACAGCCTCCAGGACAGGAAGGAGTCAATAGCACCCCACAGTATGATTCTCATTCACTGCTTCTTGCAGAGTAGAATAATTACCCCTAATTATTGGTTCCTTTTAGAAATCATCTGTTACATCTTTTCTAATTGCAGAATGAAAACTACTCCTTTGATTCCAACTATGTGAACAGCCGAGCTCATTTAATCAAAAGGTATGTTGGTTTTCTTGTTTATTTCTATAATTAATCTTTATGTATTTAAAATTATTTCTTCTCTTTTCCCAAGAAAAGAAAGAAATTTTGGTGAAAAGGTTACTAAGGGATGGATGAGTGGAGCATAGACTGGGGAGGGGGGTAATTGTGTTTTTTGTTTTATTTTATGGTGTCAGAGACCATTATGAAGACCTCATATGTTTTTAACATGTTCTTTATCGCCTAATTACATTCCTGGCCCAAATGACCTTGATTTAATGTAAAAAATAGATTAAAATAATTTGATCATAGATTTTGCAGATTTTAAATGGAATTCCCACTTTGTAACAAGAAATATTTGGAAAATACCCAAAAGCATAAAAAGAAATCCTTAAATCAATGTGACTTACCTTTCTTTATATGAAACTGTAAGATATGTATAAATTAAAAAATAAAATTAAGCAGGCCAAAGGGTATGGCATTTGCCTTGCACGTGGCTGACCTGAATTCAATCCCTAGGACCCCATATGGTCCCCTGAGGCCACTAGATGTGATCCCTGAATGCAGAGCCAGGAGAAAGTCTTTGGGACTGCATGTGCTTCCCAAACAAACAACTAGGATAGTATTTAAGTATAGTATGTATTTTTGTTTTTGTGCCACAGCCAGATGTGTGCAAGGCTTACTACTGACTCTGAGCTCACTGGTCACTCTTGGTGGGGTTAGGGCACTATATGGGATGCTGAGGATAACGCAGTCTGGCTGCATGTAAGACCATCACCCTATCTACTGTACCATTGTTTCAGCTTCTAAAATATAACTTTGTGTGATGACTTAGTAATCTAATATTAGAAAATTTACCTTTAAAAACATGCTGTCAAAATTCTTGATGCTTTTCAAATTACGATATAGAATTGGACTTCTAGTGTTAAACCCAATGCAGAATAAGCACATGTTCTTTATTAATAATGCATACCTGAATCTTATTTCATATAATAATGAAATATTACTTCAATAAAAATGGGCAAATTGATTAAAAAAAGACTTAACTCTTTTTTCATGTGAAATTTCCAATGAGTTTAAAGACTATAATTTTCTCAACCCTGAAATCATATTAGAAGTACTTAATAGATAAATTAACACTTTATCTTTTTCAATGTTTAATAAACAAAAGAGGGAGAGAAAATTCATTTTATTGATTTAACATTCCTTAAGAATATTTAGAAATGTTTGGGGCTGGAGCAATAACACAGTGGATAGGGAGTTTGTCTTGCACACGGCCGACCCGGGTTCGATTCCCAGCATCCCGTATGGTCCCCTGAGCACCTCCAGGAGTAATTCCTGAGTGCAGAGCCAGGAGTAACCCCTGCGCATTGCCCGGTGTGACCCCAAAATAAAAAAATGTATATTTAGAAATGTTTCAATGGAAACATTCGAAGTTGAGATTTGTTTGACTAATTGATAATAACTTAGTAATACATGGACATGTATGAAAATATAGAGTTGGATCTGTAAAGAAAGAGTTCATATGCTGCAATGGACACAAAGATACTCATTGTGAGCAGAACAAGGGATACAGAGACCGTCTAAAGATGGAAATTAAGCAAAGCATAGAACTTACTATGTAAAAGAATAGTACTTTCTGGTTATTCTACTAGTCACATGATGACTTTTTACTATTCAATTCAAATAGGCTATTGAATATTTCAGTGGTTATACTGGCAAAAATTGAACTCTCATTCATGATCACGACCACAACCATCCTGTTGTTTGTCAATTGCCTTGAGCAAGCCCCAGTAACGTCTCCTTTGTCCTAGCCCTGAGATTTTTAAAAAGTGCCATATTCAAGGATCTTTCAGGGTTAGGAGAATGAGATCCATCATTGTTACTGGTATTTGGTATATTGGGTACGCCACGGGGAGTTTGCCAAACTCTGCCGTGTGGGCAGGTTACATTCGGTAGCCTGCCAGGTTGTCCAAAGTAAAGTAACTCTTTACTCTCATTATGTTTGTTAAAACAATAGAAATTAAAACAATATAAAAACAATAGAAATGAACTAGAAAGATAAGCTAGGTATTTAAGACCTGTAGTAGAGAAGACATGGACATTCTATTATTTTTCTGGCTCCTTTCCCATAAATTTAAATCAATAGAAGAATATGACTTGAGAACTAAACTAACTTGCTATATAAATAACTTTTATTCAAATGTAATTCAGTCATAGTACTGCACTAAGCCTTGAAAATATGTTAAATTTATCAAAATTGGACTGGAGCCACATATGGTCTAAGTAATTGTCAATGATGTGAAAATAGATATCCTTTTTAATTGAAACACCGGGACCTACACTTACAAAACTTTCATGTTTTGAGTTTCAATCATACAATGATCAAACACCCATCCCTCTACCAGTGTACATTTTCCATCACCAATATCCCCAGTATCTCTTCCCATCCTCCTGTGCCACCCCTCCCCTGCCTCTATGGCAGACAGTCTCCCTCTTACTCTCTCTCTACTTATGAGCATTATGGTTTTTAATACAGATGAGAAGCCATAATGTTTGGTCCTTTACCTACTTTCATCACACCTCTTCTATCCAGAGCTATCCCTCCAGCCATCATTGACTTAGTGATCCCTCCTCTATCCCAGTTTCCTTCTCCCCCAGCTCATAAGGAAGGCTTCCAACCATGGAGCAATCTTCCTGGCCCTGTCTCTACTGAGGGTTAGTCTCATATTATATTTTATATTTCACAAATGAGAACAGTTATTCTATATCTGTCCCTCTATTTCTGACTCATTTAACTTGGTATGACACTCTACATGATCATCTACTTACAATCAAATTTCATGACTTCATCTTTCCTAACAGCTGCATAGTATTCCATTGTGTAGATGTACCAAAGTTTCTTTATCGAGTCGTCTACTCCAAGGCATTCATGTTGTTTCTAGATTCTGGCTATTGTGAACAGTGCTGCAATGAACATATAAGGCAGATGTCATTTTTACTGTGCTTTTTTTTTGCACCATCAGGATATATTCCCAGAAGTGGTATTGTGGGGTAATATGGAAGTTCAATTTCTAGTTTTTTAAGGAATGCCCACATTGTGTTTCAAAAAGCTGGACTAGTTGGCATTCCCACCAACAATGAGAGTCCCTTTATCCCCACATCCATGCCAGCACTGGCTGTTCTTGTTCTTTTTGATGTGTGCCAGTCTCTGTGGCGTGAGATGATATCTCATTGTTGTTTTGATTTGCATCTCCCTGATATTAGCGATGTGGAGGATGTTTTTATGTGCCTTTTGTCCAATTGTATTTCTTCTTTTAGGAATCTTCTGTGCTTTTATACTTCCCATTTTTTATGAGGTTGAAGTTTTTTTTCCTTGTGCAATTCTACTAGTGTCTTGTATATCCTGGATATTAACCCATTATCAGATGGGTATTGGGTAAATATTCTTTCCCATTCTGTGGACTCTTTCTGTATTTTGGTCCCTGTTTCTTATGAGGTGCAGAAGCTTCTTAGTTTGATGTAGTCCCATTTGTTTGTGTTTGTTTCTAATTACTTGGTTCATCCTTAAAGAAGCTTATAGCTTCAATGTCATGGAGTGTTCTTCCTACATTTTCCTTCATGTGCCTTATGGATTCAGGTCTGATATTGAGGTCCTTAGTCCACTTTGATCTGACTTTCGTGCCTGGCATTAGACAGAGGTCAGAGTTCATATTTTTTGTAGGTGTCTGTCCAGTTTTCCCAGCACCACTTGTTGAAGAACATTTCCTTGCTCCACTTCACCTTTCTTGCTCCTTTACCACTTCACCTTTCTTGCTCCTTTAAGAAAGATTAAGCTATCATATATATGAGAATCTGTGACAGAAATTCAACTCTGTTCCATTGGTCTGTGGGTCTGTTTCTATTCCAATACCATGCTGTTTTAATTACTACTGCTTTGTAATACAGTTTGAAGTTGGGGAAAGTTATGCGACCTATCTTGCTTTCGCTATTCATGCGGGATTATTGTTCCATATGAATTTTAGGAATGTTTTATCTGTTTCTTAGAAGAATTTCTTGGGTATCCTTATTAAATCTGACCGCATTAAATCTGATAATACTTTTTCTAGTATTACTAGAAAATAGATATCTTAGTATTATCTAACATGATCACTTAATCACTTAATCCCCGTTATTCATCGATTTATTCGAGCGGGTGCCAGTAACGTCTCCATTCATCCCGGTTGCGTGCTAGCGTAGCCCAAATGGTATCTGTTCATTTTAGGAACATGTAGAGCCTCAAACCGATCATTTAGGGTCTTGACGAAGAAGTCTGACCATCTTATAGGTGGGCGTCCACGTGATCTTTTGATGTCTCGTGGAATCCAATCAGTAATGGCTCTAGTCCAGCGGTTGTCTGTAAACCTCATTTACGTGTCCAGCCCATCTGATTTTTGATATCTTGGCAAATGAGACAGCGTCCCTTATTCTTGAGCGTTGACGAAGATCAGAACTCCGGATTCTATCTCTCATTTGAGTGAATCGTGATATTCCAAGCATAGTTCTTTCGATTCCTCTTTGAGAGACCCGAATAGTGTTCTCATCCTGTTTTCGTAGGGTCCAGGTCTCTGAGGCATATGTTAATGCAGGAAGAATAGTGGAATCAAAGAGATGTGCTCGTAGCTGGAGGTTCTTTGTCCTTTTAGTTATTTCTTCAATGCTCTTGAAGGCATTCCAAGCCGCTCTCTTCCTCCTGCGCAACTCATTTCCCATTATCTAACATAATGTTTGAAAATTTTGAGACGCTTGGAGGAATCCACTTTGTATATTTTCTTGATTCATGAAATAAAAAGAAAAGATGAGAAGTTGAGAATTATCTAATTGATAAAATATCTTTTATGCACAGATTAACTTCACACCAGAAGTAAACTTTGTTTTTTACTACAGCAATGGTATTTCAAAGTTTCTTTTTCCCTTAAACTTATGATAAAAATAGTGACCTGTCATCCTAACATATTCCTTCTGCTAGCTCTGGGTACCTA